CCCCCCCCCCATGGGCATGGGGAATAGGCTGAGACCGGGCTGATGCTCGAGACACCCATGGGCTGCAGCCAGGCCGCCCTCGCACGCTGCGCTCCCTCCCCGCGGCCTCGCCGGCCGGCGCAGAAGCATCTCAAGGCGATGTTAAGCGGTTTGCCATGACAACGGGGGCCGCAGTGGCCAAGTTGGAGCGATGCCGAGGGGCGAACCGAGCCACTGCCGCGGCGTTTGCCGTCCTGCCGCGGAAAGCTGCTGAGCGGGGCTGTTTCTGGAGAGGGGCGAGCGAGCCAGGAGGGTCTGCGAGCAATTAGGGAGCGGAGCTGGGCGCCGAAAGTCCCTCTCCCCCCGCTGGAATGTGGCCAGGGGGCCCCGGCCGTGTGGTTTCAATCACTGGAAACCCAATTTTCCTGTCTTGCATCCCCCTCCCCAGGCAGGTTCCCGTGCCGGTTGGGGGTGCGGGGGGGGCTGTGGGGAGGGGGGACCCCAAAAGGTGGTGGGGTTTTTTTGGGGGGTGGGGAGGGATGCTGAGCTGATGCTGCTGTCCCTGCAGGAATGTCCTGGAGCTGATCGAGTTCTTTGAGGAGGAGGAGAGGTTTTACCTGGTGTTTGAGAAGATGAGAGGAGGTGAGTATGGTGCCGGGGAGGGGGAAGCCGGGGTAGCAGGACCCCCCCCACCGCCCCACGACCCCCCGCTCTGCTGTCACCCTGCTGCAGGCTCCATCCTGACCCACATCCATCGGAGACGTCACTTCAACGAGCTGGAGGCCAGCGTGGTGGTGCAGGATATCGCCAGCGCCCTGCACTTTTTGCACAACAAAGGTGAGCTGGGATGCCGTGCCCTCCCCCGGGGGGGGGGGGAGGCCGCCTCCCCCCATCCTTCTGCCCAGGGGTGGGGGGGACACACGACAGTGTCAGACCCCCCCCAGGGCGCACAGGGTCAGGCTCAGCTGCATCATGAGGCTTTTTGTGGTGCGAAGCCTGTTCCTCCGGTTCGGCCGGGGCTCGGGGCCAGCAGCAATTTTTTGCCCTTTGCCACGACGCAGGCGGTGATTTGGGGTGGGGAGGGAGGGGTCTTTGTGCCACCCCCAGGCCTTTCACCACGGAGGACTTACTGGGGGGGGGGGGGGG